TAATATTTCGATTGTATAAATAATTTACTATTTGATGAATTTTCTTTTTTTATTTCTGGATTAGATGAATATTATTTTTTATTTTTAGACTAGAAAAAATTTATTTTGTTATTTTTAGATTAAAAAATTTTATTTTGTTATTTTTAGATTAGATAAATCTTATTTTATTATATTTAGATTAAATGAATTTTATTCTCAGATTGGATAAATTTTAACTTTTATTTTTTAGATTAAATAAATTTATTTTTTATTTTTTAGATTATTAAAACGATAAATAAAATCATAAAGTATCAATGTAATGGAATGGGGATATCCAATTTGGCTGGAGGTTCAAGTTCTTGTTTTTCATGCAGCTTTGATGATATAACGAAACAGTACGATGATATATCATAAAAGCTGCATGAGAAATAAGAATTGGGAGCTCCAGTCAGACTGGACACCCCAAAGATTAATTTTTCCATCTTTGGAGAGTTGGGAGGGGAGTAGGTAGCAAAATTTTGAATAAAATACGATGACAATCCACATAATATACGACTGTCGTAATGCTCGTCCTGGGTCAGACCTGTTAAAATTCTTCAGAAAATTTCTTCGATCGGGGAAATTTTATTCTTTTATGGCAGAGTCTGCATCTTTACTAGAAGTTTTTGCTTCTCTCTTTCAAGGAAGTTCTTTTCTTAGTTACATAATTCATATCTTATTCTTTATAATTTTTTTGACAAATATTTTAATTTTATCTCTTATCTATCAAATATAAAACTTTATTTTCTTCCTGTTTCAAATTTCATTTAAATAATATCTTTCAATAATCAGGAGATATTTGCATGAGGAAAATAGTCTTTTAATTTTGGAAGTTCTATATTATGGCCAAACACTACAAGACGAATGATTTTGGAACAATTAACTTGTGTTACATCTCTTGTAAAATCGTCTGTTGCTTTTTGTAAAGAACCATAACGTACATAAAGATGAACATTGTTTAATAAATACGTCTTAGTACTGTCTAAAAATTCTTCGACATAATTCTCATGAGCTTTAACAAGATCAAGTATAGTAAGATGATGATATTTTATGATTAAACATTGTTGATTATCATTTTCTTGTGGTTCACGATTATTTAAAGTTAATTTATTGATAAATGGAAATGAGTGAGCAATTCGAAGAAAAAATTCATGTTGAAATGGACGTTCATCAAGTAATGATATTTCACGAACATATTTAAATAATCCGCCAGGAAAATTATTTGTTATATTATTAAAAAAGTTCCATGTATATGGATATGAATAAATATGATAATAATATAAGTCTGATTCTAAAAAACAATCAACAAATGAAATAATTTGACTATTTTGAAAATTTCGAAATGCACTTTGAATATTTTCATTTGATGGTAAATTAACTAACTGATCAAGACAAATAGCTGAACAAATATTAAATATAAATTTATTTAATCTTGTCATATGATTAATAATATTTTTTTCCAAATTATCACCAT